GTGCTGAGCAGAGGTCTCTATTCACTCTTCCGATGATGTAGGGCTCTCTCTATAGTTTTATTTCTGGACGTTTATTACAGTTGTTCTATCTTCCGTTTGGATGTTTAATAGGGGTCCACTAGAGATGGATTCCCAAGTTGTAAACTGATGGAGAGTTGGAGTTTGGGTTTGATGGATTTTAATAATTATAATATTTTACGGATTCTATTTTTAGTTCCTTCCAGCTTTTATTTCTTAATTTATTTTGTATTCCGTGTTCATTATAGAATATTAATTGTTTGATATTCCCTCGGGTTTGGGCCTGGGCCTGATCAACCCGTGTCTCGGATCCGAGGGGTATCACATAATGAGGGTTACCTGTGAGTTTTGTAACAGGGGTTACTTGTGACTGTGTTGTAACAGAGGATACCTGTGAGTTGTGTCGGTTGTAACGGGGAACACCTATGAGCCGGCATGTGTTGTGACGGGGGTTACCCGTGCGTCGAGTTGGTTGTAACGGGGGACACCCGTGAGCCGGCTTGTGTTGTAACGGGGGATACCTGTGAGTCGTGTTGTGTTGTAACGGGGGCTACATGTGAGTAATGTCGTGTTGTAACATGGGACACCTGTGAGTCGTGTTGCACGGTTGTCTGTGAGTCGTGTTGCATAATTATCTGGGAGTCATGTCATATTATCATATGTACGTCTTGTCATGTTGTTGTCAGTGCATGGTGTCGTATCATAACGGGGGATACCTGTGAGTCTGGTACAGTAACGGGGGTTACATGTGATTGTGTAGTGGGGGATACCTGTGAGTTTTGGTAGCGGGGGATACCTACGAGATTGGGTGTGACAGGAGGTACCTGCACACAGTTGTTCTGGTAACGGGGGCTACCCGTGAATTTGGGCAGAGGCCTGTACACTTTGTGCAGTGTCGGGTTCATCTGTGCCAGGATGGTGGACATATCCTGTAGTGTGGTTCCGGACTGGGTGATGTTGATGATACTTAGTGTGAGCCCTTGGGGCAGGATATAGATCGAGAAGTTTTGTATTTCATGTTGTAATGATGTACCGGTTATAACCATTATGTATTAAAGAAGTGACGTATTTGTAAGACTATGTGTGAATTCACAGGCGGTTTTATTGGATAATGATGTGTATTTTGTGAGTAGTTAAGCTCTTATATAATGGTTTTACTGATGAATTAAAGACAGAAGGGTTTTATTCATGTTACTTTAAAGGTTATGGGTGAGATTGTTTGACGTCATACAGTTGTTTTTATGAATGGAAGGTCTAGATTTCCGCTTATAAGGTTCTCCTTTGGGCAGGATGGGACGCGATGTCTTAAGAGTCGTTGTCTAGCCTTAGTGTTTGGGAAGGGGCACTGTTCTCTTTTACATATGGATGTTAAGTGTACAAGTTGTTTCGTCTCCGTTTAGTTCCTCTTCATTGGCATAGCTATGCAAGGTATCGATAAGTGCGTGTTCTGTTCTGTTATGGTAGAAGGATTTGATCTTCCTTCTTCTTGTGTTGGTCCTAGCAAGGACTTTGTCATCTGTGAATTTTATATCTCTATATAGGAGTTATGCGTGTCAGCGGGCAAAAGAACTTTTTAGAGTGCCCTATTTTGTTAGTGATCCCGAGTGAGGATTTGATCTTGATCGTTTGACTTACCTCCACGGTAGGAGGTGAAGTCCTTGGTTTTGTAGGAATTGTTCCGAGAGGTTATGACCGATGCGATGTGAGATGTGATTTGTTTACCGGTGTGTACTTTTTCTTAGGGTCTTGGAGCTAGTAGTGGAGCCTAGTAGCTGTGATTTAACTCCAGTGGGCATTTTTCCCTTGTGAGCTCATTAGTTTTGAGCACACAACTTTAAATGGTCATAACTTCTTCGTTCCGAACCCAAATAGGGTCATTCTTGAGCCCATTTTCAAGGATTTTGAGTTAGCTTTCCAATGAGACCAACCCCATCTCCAAATTCCACTCATGTTGAGAGTTATAATCATTTTAGTGGGACAGTGTCAGGATTCCTTTTGAACCGGGAAAAAGTATTTTGGGAATTCATATCCGATGATCGTAAAACTTCATCGAGTATTATGAAATGACTAGAATAATTGTTTTAGACCTCATTTGACTAGTTTAAGATCTTATTACCCTCTCACAATGTAAAATGACCATTTTACCCCTAGTGTGTCCTCGGGTTTGGTGAAGGACCCGATTAACAATCCGGACCCTCGGTTTGGGTTGTTACATAACCGAAAAAATAAAAATTGTGATTTGAGAGTGTATAAGCTAAGTGAATCAAATGACACATATACCCTTATTATTGTGTAGTCCCGGAATAGTGCTCAAACTATAACCAAACAAGGCCAAATATATTTGTATGTATCTATTGTATCGTTGTAAAGCCCAAATATAATATACAGATCCAAAATCGAGCAAGAGAGTGGCAGATAAAGCATGGACAGCGGTGAGCTCGGTTGTGGGTGAACTGACAGTGGACGAAAATGGATCTCTGGCGTAACGATGGAGGGCTCGGCGGTGAGAGGAACTACCGGTAAGGATGAATACGGGCTCGGCGGTTTGGGCTTTGGATGATGTCGAGGACTCAGCCACGATAGAGGGGTCGGCTGTGAAGAGGTTGGCCCGTGAGGGCTCGGCCGTGATGGTCTGACCGGCGATGGAAGAAGAAGCTCGGCTGTGAGCTTGCGGCGCAGCTTGGCGGGATGGAACGGTAGTGGCTTGCGGCGGTGCTTGGAGGGATGGAACGGCGGTGCTTGTGGTGGTTCTGAAATCAACAGGTATGAGCTTAGAAAGAGAACAAACGATCATCAGACAACCGTAATTGCCTTTCGCCTCAGCCACGCATGCTCCGACTGCCATAATTACTCCGCCTCAGTCACTTGAGGTGGAGCAATTGTGTCTCAATTTGAAATTAAATTCGGCTATGAGTGTGAAGACGGAAAGGGGGTCTGTCGCCGGCGAAGTTAGGGTTCTGACGAGGAGTGTGTGCGTCGGTCAACAGGAGTAGTGTAGTGCTATTTGGGTTTCACTCTTTAATTGGGGCTTTAAATACTCTGTTTCATTCAAACCCACTTCTGAATTTGTTGATCCATCTCTATACTCATGTGACCCATCACTGTTGCTGAATCAATTGTTTCTTTTCCTCTGAAAATTCTTCGGTTCTCCAGACAAATTGTGATGGATGAATTATAGTCCAAATATAGATGTGTGTGTGTGTATATATATATATATATATAGATAGATAAAGGGAACCATTGAGAGATTTAGGTCGGCAATATATTATTTATATATTTTACCAGAAAGACACGAAGAAGATGAACAATACATCTATATGTGTGTGTGTGTATATATATATATATGTATGCGTCTGTGCATATAGAAATAAGGGATAAGGCCATAAGGGCGTGTATAGGTGTAAAAGTAAGTTAAAGAGAGGTTGGGGTGCAATAGAGTATTTTTATACTTTCTAAAGGGCATTTTGGTTATTAAATTAGATATTGTGGGTTTAACGGTGAGATTCAACTCGAGCATCGCCGGAAGGAGTCATCTGCAACAAAACTGTATAGTTCAGGGGTTTCTTGCAACTTTTGTAGTTCAGGGGGTTTCTTGCAGAATTGCTAATAATTCAGGCTTTTTTTTTTTTTTTTTTTTTTTTTTTTTGCATTTAAAGAGCATCTCTAATGCTAAAAGCCATTTTCGCATGCCAAATCTATATTTTGACAGGTTCTACAATGTCAAAATGTTACGTTTTAGTAATTCTATTCCAATTGTGCATTTCATACAAAATACTATTTTTTGACACAACCACTATTCTTTTTCGACTATCATTCCCACCGTTCATAATTGTGTAGAGATCAATAGTTCTATGATACACCTAAATGATTTTATTGGAGCTAAAATGAGAGAGAATGATTTATGATACAGGAGAAAAGACCAATAATTGTATAAGTGAGGAAGAATTATCACGAGTTTATATTGTGATTAGTAATTTACCTTCTAGTGATGCAAAAGTAAGGGAACTGAATATTTTAAAATCAATTTATTGATTATGATTTCCCAATTTGTTTCCTAGATCACAAGAGCCAAATATCAATTAAAATTAAAATCTGCACCAACAATTCCGGGAATGAATTTTCCATTCACATGAGAAAATGAATTTCCAAATAGATGAATATAAGAACTAACAATTGAGTGAAATAATTGGGGAATATGTAAACAAGTGAATATGTTAAAAGAGATGAGAAAAATAAATTTCCAAATAGTTCCATTTATCTGATGGGAAAAAAAAAGATATATGAAGTTTTCGAAATTGTCAACAGCTAGCAGATCTTCATATTAATACACATAATGGAAAATAATCCAAAATTCACTTCATATAAGGAGGTTGGAGCTTAAATTGGCAATTACCCAATAAATATACTTGTAAAACAGATCATTAAGAATCAAGACCCAATTGGGAAATCGCAAAAGGAATACCTAAAGGAAGCTAATCAACAAATCAACACTGAAATTGAATTGAAGATTGCAAAATACATATACACACACATGGAAATCAAATCAATACAAAACATATGCACAGAGAGAGAAATCTGGATCCCAAATACAAAGCCCATGCCGGATTTTAGAATGAAATTGAAATTTTTTAAATCAGAAAGCATATATATACAAATATATATATGTATACATGCAAGTTTATAGATTTCGTACTTGTTGTTTCCTTCTAGAGTTTCAAAGCGATAGAGGAGTGGCTATGGTGTAGGCAAGTTGTCTATGGTTTGAGAGAGAGTGTGTGGCGTAGAAGAGAGAGAGGGAGAGGGAGAGAGGAGGGCAGGGCTGAGGTCGAACTCTGATCAGGATGCTGGTGGTGGGGTTTGATCGAGAATAGCAGCCGTTCTCTTCTCTCTCTCTATCGCTGGTCACCGTCTGTTGCCGCCGTTCTCTTCTCTTTTTCTATTGCCCTGGAGACATAGGATCGGAGCGAAATAGGAGCCGGTCAGAAATAACAATTGCCATTTCTTGTGCTAGAATTGGCAAAGTTAAAATTTGGCAGGCGAAATGACAACCCATTGGAGAGCCTATTTGAAGCCCATTTGCTATATTTTACAAGTAACCGCCCAAATAGCATTGGGTTGGAGATGCTCACCCATTAAAATATAAAAAAATTGAGATCTTAAAATTTTCTCTTTTTCTTTTCTTTTCTTTTTATTTTTTTTTATATTTTTTTTATTATTATTATTTTTTTTCCACTTTCTTTTGGGAGCTATTTATTTATTTTCTGTTTTTTCTTATCATTTTCCCCCCTTCTTCTTAATTCTCTCCTCCCGTCTTTCCACACAGTGTCCACCGGAACGTTACCTCGACTGAGATAAGTTTCGAAATGCCTCGTCTTGTTCGGATACTTGTCACCGACGGTGAGGCGACGGACTCATCGAGCGACGAGGACTGTACTAGCGGAGGGAAGACCCATATTACTGAGATCAAACTTCAAACCGGTTGCAACCATACAGAGGATAAAAAAGACAGTGGCAGCAAAAAGTTTCGCGGCGTTCGGCAGCGCCCATGGGGAAAATGGGCGGCAGAGATTCGAGATCCGTCGCGGCGAGCTAGGGTTTGGTTAGGGACCTACAACACTGCTGTAGAGGCCGCCTTAGCTTATGACGAAGCTGCTATCCGAATACGAGGACCCGACGCCCTAACAAACTTCCTGAAACCTCCGGCAAGAGCTTGACTTTAATGTAGCTGTCAGTTTCCGGCTACGATTCCGATCAGCTCTGTCTCTCCTATTCCTCCTCCTTTACTGTTCCTGGAGAAGGGTCACTCTCTGTAACAAACATTGTATATACATACAAATTAAATCTACATTTACTTTTATATTATGCTTTATGTTATAAAAGGTCATTCTCACTAGAATAATTTTGTATCTGTGACACCATCTCTTTGTATTTGTGTGTGTGTATATATATATTGAGATAGAGAAAGAGATATGCACGTGTGTTATTAACCATGTTTGTGTTACATATTTGAATCTAAAATGTTTGAACTATTGCTTCTTCAAACAAAGGTACTGCGAATCCACATATATAAATTCGTGTTTCTGTTGGAGCAACTTAGTTTGTTAAATCAATGCTTCATAAGATATTTTGATTTTTTTTTTGGGTGCAGTTCTAGCAATTGGAATCAAGAGAATTGGGAGTTCTTATTTATGATGTATCGGTTGCATTTATTGAGTTGTCTATATTGATTAGTCATTTCGCATGATGCTTAAGAAGTGGCATGCTCATTATCGGGGCTATTACTTGCTTGTTGTACTGTAATGATCAATCACTATTGATTTATGAGGGCATAAAATGGATGTGTTAGTCTGGTGATCACTTGTCACATACTTATCTATCCTCTTGTGTGTGCTCTCTTGTAACATGTTGTTTGATGGAATGTTACGGACTAAAATTACATGTTAATTAATGAATTACCGAGAATATATATATATATATATATATATATATATATATATATACATGTTAATTAGAATATTTGATGATCTGCGGAAGCAGGAAGCAAGACACCTGTATGAATATATACTTATCTGTGGTATATATCTTTATTTATTTCAAAGTTCAAATCATTAATTCATATCTGTCGTAACAGACTCTGACCGTGCAAGCAGCAGAACAGCAGAAGTTAGAGAATAGCTGTTCAAATATAGTTTCTCCAAGCACACCTGGTGAAAGTTTGCATGTGGCTATGGTTACAAGTTATGGAGGATGTAATGGCGGAGATGCAATGATCGGACTTGCAAGGTTTGGCATGTTCTGCACTATTTTCTTTTCTCTCCTCCCTTTTTGTTTTTTTTAATTGATAAGTGTAGTGTCATGTTATGGCTGCTGATCATGAAGACAATCTGCATGGTTGACGATGAAATAAAAGCTGCAAAGCTGTAAATATTGGAAGCCATTGCTTTTAGTCATTGTTACTTTAAGCTCATACATTTATGGTAGTGTTGTTGTTCATTTTTTACTGATAATACTAATAAAGAAAATAACCGTGCCGCTTCCCTGGCTTCTTCCTTGAACAGGATGAAATTCTTATCTCTTCCTCTCCCATGCATTTAAATCTCTCACTTTCTTTCTTTTTAAACCCCATTGACCTTTTTCCGAATCATCCTATATTGGGAACTTTCATCTCTCTTTTAATTGTTTGAAGACTTAAAGTAACGGACACTTAATTAATACAATTTCTTTATGATCACAGGATTTTCATCTCCATTGAACAGGAAACAAATAATTCTCAACAAGTTTTTGCTAGGGATTATAGTACCTATGCTGAATATGTTACCTTGTTTGATGATTCTGCATCATTATGTAGGGGGAAAACATTGAGAAACATTATTGTATCCCCATTAATAATTGATGCATCCGTATTGGACCCTGGTGCACATGTTTTTTATGCTGGAGATAGCAAGATAAACATCACTGCAGTGTAAGTAATGCATTTTTTTCACCTGCACTTGTGATCTCATATTTAAATATTTTGATCTAATTTTAATATCGTGGAACCATTTTAATATGGACAACATAATAACAGGATTCGTGGTCTAATTTTTGTGCTCAAAATGTGTTAATTTGAAAGATGCAATGGCATGAATTAAGACTGCTTTAGTTTCTGGAACATCATCCTATATAATGATTTTCTTTGGTAAACTAACATGTGATAAGACTTAGAAAAGGAGACCACCAATAGGGTGTTCCACTTTGTACACTTGCACTCAACACTTTTATTTTATTTAAATGACACAAGTGGACATCAAAATCACCCTCACACTCCATATTTACCCCATAAAGTACTCTTACAATCCACTCTACAGAGATATCCTTATTGTTTCCTTTAGAAAAAATCAATTGGAGGCTTGAATTTCTGAAATTTAGTCCCAGCCTTGCCCGTCTGATGAACTTATTTTTATCACCCTTACCTTGGTCCCATTCGAATGAAGTTTGATTCTTTGTCATTATTATCCTTACTCTTGGCCCGCTTGAATGTGGCAAGTTTTTTTTTTTCATCATAAGTTGTTTCTTGATATATTAAGTTTCTGTAAATATTTTCTTGTAACTTCATCCCAACATAATTTTGGGTAATACTAATTATACTATGTTGTCTCTTCTTCTTTTCAGCATGTCTTCAGGAACATTAAACTTATCAGTTGTCCTTGTATTCATATCCCTATTAGAATTTTTTTATTTCTTATTATTTTTAGCAATCCTAATTTAATGTGAATCCATCAGAGAGATTTGACTTTATTTTACAATTGACTGTCTTCCTGATGCCAACCCGATTCTTTTCGCTTCCGGCCGTTGTTCCTAGCAATAGGAGAGTCAAATAACCTCACTTCTTTACTTTTTATTAGTCAGTAGAGACGAAGTTGTCACTATAACAAACTGTGACATGCTTGCCAAAAACAAATCTGTTGCAGAAAATCATTTTGGGTGACATAAGCATCATTTGTCGCCTTATGTGACCTTTTAGAGACAAAACTGAATATGTCTCAAAAGCCTAAGCGGAAAACCCTCCATATGGCGGGAAGGGATATAGCGATGAATTTGAGTTTTGCGATAAAAAGTTTGGAAAAATGACATCATTTTTTTTGTCTTTCATATTCTGTATAGTATCTAATGGAAAATCAATGTTCCATTAACCATATGTACAGGAGCAGAACATCTCAAATAATTGTTATAGGTTTAAGATTGAACTTACTTGTCGGGGAGGATTGGGAGTTTAACCTGCGTTGTTTTTTCTCATTATAGGAAGGAAATAAGTTACTTATAGTCATATGATCACGTGAATTGGATGCATCTAGATTTTGATCCAGTATGAACCGATGCTATTAACTTTTAATGGCAAAATTTCTGACATCTTGTAGATTCAACATGTTTTTGGCATAAAAAAATTGATTTCATGAATTTTTGATTTCCCATGCCCTCTGAACTAATCCAAATTCACTAATTAAGGTGCTTGAAAGGCAAGGACTTACCCTCTAGAGTTGACCATAATAAAAATTGAAGCCCTGACCAAAAATTACTTTGAAGACAGACAGAAAGTAATTTAGAAATTCTAGATGACACTATTACAATATACTGTCTAGCAAACCAAGATGCCATTGCTTGGTACAGTGGTGAAAGGTTGGACTGCCAAGTGTAAGGATGTGAATTGGAGTACGAGAGTAGTTCCTTTGACTTGAATATTGGGTAATGGTTTTATCATGAATAACAAAATGGATTTAAATTGAACTCTTTAGGCCACCACTGTGACTGCATATATGGATTAAAATTATAGAACTTGAGGTAATCAGTGTATTCATTTCATTGAGAGCAAGTAAATAATTGACATGCAATTAGCATTGGAATGTTTAATTTAGTGCTCTTTTATGTTACTTTTTTCGCATATTATGTCATGTGACTAAGCTGCTTTGGAAAAAATTGGCAAATTACGAAAGAAACAACATCATTTGTAGTTTTGTACAGAAGGAAATGCCCAACTTTATCATACTTCTCAGTGGTACAGGGGAGCTTTCTAATAGTAAATTTCACGAAGCTACTTAGAGTCCATGCATTTTGTTGCATCCTTTTGTATCAAAAATCCATTTGTCTGAGATTTTGTATCTTGTCGAAGTACTATATATAGTTGAATAAAAGATTCCTGCTTGATCAGTTCTATAAGGTCAACACACTTCAACTAATATTAATGTTACTCTATTCTAGGGATCATTGTTTGTGTAATGGCAAAAGTTTGAATTGACAAGTATAAAGACGCAAGCTTTGGTATGCATTATCACTTTGCATAGGCTGGATGGATAATGGCATCTGATCTTACTTTCTTTCTGGTGATAATGCTCTTCTATGCTTTTGTTGTTTGGTTTTCTACATGAGTTATGTTCTGCATGGTGATGATTCATTCATTTTGGTCAATTCAAGTTTGCTCGCTATCTACGCTGCAGCACAGTGTAAAGTCTTTTATGTTCCCAAGGCTTTAATTTGGAGCACAAGTGTGTATGGAATTGCAGGCTATCTCAAATAAATTTGGCAACAATTTGAAACTGAAACTACCAGAAACCGTAGATCATAAATGTCCAAGTGGTGCAACATGGAATGAAGGTCTAACATTAGATGGGGATACTTTGTTCTTCAAGCATGGATGGAATTTTTTGTACAAGATCATTCTCTAGAAGAAGATGACCTCTTGATCCTCGAATACCATGGTGGATCACATTTTGTTGTTTTAATGTTTGACCAACAAAACTTGTGTAAGAAGGAAGTTTCATATTTTGTTTGAAACTGTGGACACAACAAACTTTGTGAGCGATGCCAGACGAAGAGAAACATAACGGACAGTTTCTGTTGAAGTTACCATTAATTGATTCTTTACATGATGATGATGACACTGATGATGATGTTGGATGCAATTCATCAAAAAAGAAACGTAGGTTGTATGATAATTTAGTGCCAATGTCATCATGATGGCATTCCCGTGGTAATAGGAGGAGTTGGACTCAAAAGGGTACTACTTGTATTAAATCTCTTCGTCGCAAGAACTAGAGAAACAAAGTACCTTCTACTAGTGCAGAGGGAGAAAAAGTCATTTACGGTGAGTCTTCTCAACATTTGATTTCCAAAGAATGCTTTGCTTTATGAAACTGCACTCTAATGCTAAGAACCTTATTCTTGTGTGCTTCTTCCTCTTCTTAATATGTAATTTATTAATATTATTTGCACATTGGATTTACATAAACAAGCGATTTATTTATTTATTTATTGTTTAGTGCATTTTAGAAACACTAAAAATTATAAATTCTCTGTGGTTATGTTTGTTTTTTATTTATTTATTAATGACTCAAATCCTAAACAAAGATCCATCAGAATGAATTTAGCCTGTTCCGTGCAACTTGTATCCAATAGAAGAACTATAACTGAAGAGGAGAAAAAGAAGGCTCTGCAAATGGCCTTGGTTGCTGCCACAAAGAGATCGAGCTCCATTGTGGTTATGCGGCCTTCACATGTATACAGGGGATTTCATATTCTGACTTCTCATTTGACTCCCTAATCTTCTTTTTAGGTTTAATTCCTTTCCTCTTCCTCTTTTTATATATATATTTTTAAGTTACTTTCAGCATTTCAACTATGAGAAAACATCTTTGCATAAGCACAATAGTTCAACAACTAAAACAGTCAGGTCGATAATGTTGAATTTCCATTGTAACTGTATTTGTGATTGCTCTACAGACCGTCCCTACTGCATGGGCCAGTAGGCATCTCCAGGTCAGATTTTATTTCAAAGCCTGTGTACTAGCTGGTGGTTGGAAAGATTTTGCTTCTGAGATCGGCATCTTAGAAGAATTTGATGTGTGTGTGTCACACGTGTTTGAGCTTGCCAGTGGAACAAATGACTCGGTTGTCTTGGATGTTAGCATCTTCTGAGTTGTTGAAGATGTATATTCTACCAACGATATTGACCTCACCTGCCGCAAGGCATGGAATGCCATCAAATTGCCGCAGGCCAAAGTTATTAGCCGATGTCACTGATGCATGAGTTGTCAATTTGCTCTATGTTTTGCTCTGAAGTACGAAATATTGCACATGTTGGGAGCTTTCTGGACTTCATTTTGTATGTATGTATTCTGCATTTTGACTCTGTTTTTTGGAATTCTTCATTTTGACTGTGTTGCATATGTTAAAGTAGTGGTCTTCTTTTTTCTTTTATTATTATTATTTTTTTAATGGCACACACTCACACCCACTTGCTCCTGTATGGGATTGGAACATTAAACCTTCCATTCTAGAAGACAAGAAAGTACAGGACTGTTAAAGTAGTCAATTAGACATGACTACTGTTATGATAGTTTTGTTATGGTTGGTTAAATGTTGTCGGCTCATCAAATTTGGTGAATTCATGTTTAAGGTTTGGTTTGTTTGGATGTAAAATATTTTTTAAAATATATATATTTTTTATTTTCTAGTCTTTGATTGTCATAAAATATTTAGGAAGAAAAAAATATTAAAATTTAATAAAAATAACTTATTTATTAATTTTCGACATATTATTTTACATGTCTCTTCCGATGGACTCGACTTCAATCTTGATGTAGACTTTTGTTAAATACTAAAAAAATAAATATAAAAGAATATGTTACCTAAAAAAGAAAAATATTTTTCAAACGGGTGGACGGGTTTATTTATTCAAAAGTTCAAGTTATTTGGGTAGTGTTACATACCTATTCATTTATAATCAATCAGTTTCTCATTCGAATTCAATGTGGGACAAATGTCCCTTGTTACATAAACCATGGTGTCAAAAGAAGCATTGAATGGATCGCAACCACTGTCGAATTCTCCTCTGATTAATTGTGCCTGACCATAGGTTTTTCTTCTGTGTTTAATGGATCACAACCATTGTTTCTTTCTTTGTAAAAGAAGCATGTTCTCTTTGACTGAATTT